TCACAGACTTTAATCCTAGTACTGCTCCTGAGGTGAAGTAGAAAAAAGATTACCATCTGCCTTTCACAGAGTAACAGTGACGCTCATAAAAGAGTGTGACTTGGCAGAGATGCTTAGGTGAACAGGCAAGTCTATCAATTTCAAAGAACTGCTTACCGCCATACACCAAAATTTCTTCAACAGGGTTCTAAAACCTTTAGATAGTCAGGAAACTAAACACATATTCCCCCAAAAGATCCAGAGTAATTTTCTAAATCCTAGGTGAACCGAACCAAAGGGTCAACAAAATATCTAAAAGTAGTAACTTAATTCAAATTAAACCAACATTTTTATAAAGATAAACTAGAAGAGGTCCAATTCTCCAAGTCACACATTTCACTTATATTCAAACTAATCTAATAATTACAAAGCCCCTTCTAAGAGTGACACACATCTAAGTGTTTTTATACCAATTCATATAAATGACTCAGTTCAAATTCCCATAGATACCCAAATGTTCCTCATGTTCTAAACTAATCTCAACCACTCTGAACTTTGCCTCCAGGCAACAAACTTAAAACAGGCATTTAAAGAGCAGTCTCTTAAAAAAAAACAAAACAACAACAAAAAAAACACTGTAAAATTTAATCATATGCTGAAAGGTTCCCCCAAAAAGAAAGGAGAAACAGAAACCCAGAGTGAAATAACTGAGCAATGGCAATAATCATCAATTGCTACTATTATGTGAATGTATGATGGGGAACTTCACAACTCAAAGATCAGGCAGCTGACAACACCAACCCACTGGTCAATCTTAACATCAAAAAAAGAAAAACCAGACAGCATGTGCCTCTTAATGTAACGCAATAAAAAGTACACAGCACTACCTGTGAAGCAGTCTTGCCAAAACACCCAACTAGAATCTCATAGAGTCTTTAGATTAACCACTCGTTCACAGGAAATACAGAGGAGAAAGGAACACGTTACAGGATGCTATACGGATACATTCAACAAAATCCAAACTGGGAAATTCTACAGGGCAAATGATCTGGATTTTTTTTTTCATTAAATAAATGTTAAATGACAAGACCAAAAAAGCGGGGGGAGGGGATACAAGAGACTGAGATTTATCAACCAAATGCTGTGTGGACTTTTTCGGATCCTGATTCAAACAAACCAACTGGGAAAAAAAACATGAGAAAATTAAGGAAATATACTGAATATTTAATGATATCAAAGAATTATTAATTTTAGGTGTGCTAATAGTACTGTGGATATGTTAAAGTTTTAGAGATAAACATAATGAAGTACCTGTAGATGGAACATGTCTGGGATTTGCTTTTAAATTATCCAGTTGAGGAGGAATGAGAGGGATAACAGCAGAAACAATATTCACATGTTTCAAACTGTTGAAAAGGGTCATGGGTATATGGTGATTCATTTTACTATTATACCTTTGTAAGTTTGAAATCTCCCACATTAGAATGTTAAAGAAAGAGATTATCAGAGTACTGTATCAAAAATATCTATGGTTGGCAAAACTCTCAAACTTAAATTTTAGAAGTGTTTGCTTCAAAAGACCTTCATTTAAAAATCAAAACCAGGGACTTCCCTGGTGGCAGAGTGGTTGGGAATCCGCCTGCCAATGCAGGGAACAAGAGTTCAAGCCCTGGTCCGGGAGGATCCCACATGCCACGGAGCAGCTAGGCCCATGCGCAACAACTACTGAGCCTGCACTCTAGAGCCCGCGAGCCACAACTGCTGAAGCCCGCATGCCTAGAGCCCATGCTCTGCAATGAGAGGCCACCGCAGTGAGAAGCCCGTGCACTGCAACGAAGAGTAGCCCCCCCACCCCCCGCTCACTGCAACTATAGAAAGCCCACGCAGCCATGAAGACCCAATGCAGCTATAAATAAATAAATTTGTAAAAAAAAAAAATCGAAGTCAAAAATACAATTTTAAGTACTGCCTTTAAGTATTATATTTGCACATATTAAGTAATGACTTCAACTATTACATGTTTTCATTTTATGTCTGGTTCTTCTTACTGACATTTGCTAACAGACACACACACACACACCTCCTCGAAAGGAACCAAGTTCTAAATATTCTAACGCCTAAACATCTCAATCAGTTCCTTCTTTTCTTCTACTACTTCTTTACGTCAAGCCCTAAATATTTTGGTCAGTCTTGCTACAGCCTCCTTATGGACTCTCTTTTCAGCTTAAACACACAGCAAGTCATCCTCCATACTGATTCCTTCAGTGGACCCCTCATCTCCAGAATAAAATCCAAACTTCTTTGCATAACATACATTGCCCTCAGAAATCTGGTCCCTGCCTATCTTTATAACACTCCCAGACTAGTACCCCATATATCATCCCATACTCCACTCTTTCTAAACTACATACAGTACTCGTACAACAGATCTTAAGATAAACTATGGATGCTCTTTTTTTTTTTGGCCGCACTGCACAGCTTTCAGGATCTTAGCTCCCTGACCAGGGGTCGAACTCAGGCCCTCAGCAGTGAAAGCGCCGAGTCCTAAACACTGGACCAGGGATTTCCCTGGATGCTCTTCTCTTCTAAAGCTCAGTTCCCTTAGACTAAAACCACCAATACCAAATTCTACATACCTTCTATCTCCAGGTTAATTAATTCCTATTGCCTCTACGACACTCACTTCTCCTATCAGCTCCTTTGCAAGCCTAACCAGACTTTCCTTTCTCTCTCCCTGACTACCCTATACATTCACAGTAATCTATGCAGTAATATCAAACTACCTTTTTGCTTTTTGCATATCTATACTGCCCTTCAAGACAGAGTATCACAGAGCCTGCTAGACACTAAATGTTTGTTTTGTGATGTATGCATCTCCCATTGACAACAGACAGGTAGTTCTTTTATAAATAACTGGAATGTAAGCGGTTTGAAAGTGGGAAACTTGTCTAACACATCTTTGCCACTCCAGTGCTTGGAATATATTAAACACTGTTTACCAAATTGAATGAAACAAATATTTCTAATAGCCATGGTTTGTAATTTTGTAACAAAATTTATTCCACTGCAGTTTCCCTTGTTGTTTCTTGGTATTTTATTTGTTTTGTGTTGTTTTTTGGTCTGTTGGCTGATTAGTTTTAAAGCAAAGGCCTTAAACAAGAGTTTACAATAAGAATTATACAGTGTAGCTACAACATGCCTAGGGAAACTTTCAGGTCACAGTGTTTACCTTAAAGTTGAGGAGGCTCAACGAATTATTATTATTGGAGAACCTCAGTATTAGGTTATCCTAAGGTTTCACTGTAATTTAATTGGAAATTGTAGGGAAAAATCACAAAACTCAATAGCAGTCAGGACCCAAGCAACGTAAAAAATAAAATCAGATTCTTAATTTCAAATTTTAAAATGAAAAATTCTCCCTGTAGAAACAACAATGCTGCATACAAACGTTGTTTCGGAGGCGGGGGGTGCATCTGCTACAAAAATGGAAAGACAACAAACACAAGAGAAACTCTGACCACGTCAATTTTTGAAGGCTAGATTTCAAAGTGTGTAGATAGCGACATTAAGAGGCTGAACTTAAGAACAGCGCCTGAGGTAAGACTAAGAAATTGACTTTCACTAGAATGTCACTAGAAACAAAGTCATCTGGTTGCTTTAACCAAACAGTAGGAAGCAATGGCTTTTAAGATGATGAATCGTCTTCATTTCCATTTTCTAATGTATCTAAATTTTTTTCTAAATACTTAAGTGGCATGTTCAAATGTATGCTATTTACCATATAAATAAAGGAAAACTAGACACATCACTGAACAGTATTAATGGTTTGCTTTTTTTTTAATGAAAGGCACTTTGATTCAACTTCCCCCCCCCAAAATAGATTCCCTTAAAATCCACTTAAGTAATAAATGTTAAAATTTAGCGTCGGTAGAGGAACTTAACAAATCCCTCTTTTAAAAATTACGAAAAAAGGTAAAATGACGTTTTTATTGACTTTACCGAAAAATGTGGAAAATAATGGAAAGGTGTACTATTTATTCAAAGCGTAACTACTTTCGTGGTTTCAATTTGTATGGTACTTGAATTAGTTTCCAGAGAAAAGTAAACCTGCCAGACTCCAGCAGAGAGAGAATTGTTTGCATGAAGCCTATCTAGTTCAACTACTGACCAGGAATACCTACCCGCTCGTCAAGTCTCTGATCTAAATGACTTTCTCTGTGAGCAATCTTCTAATTTTATTCCTGGCCTTAACAAAAACCTCTATCAGAAGGTGAAATGCGCCGCATCCCTCTCGCAACTTTGGTTTAAAACACGACCAACCCTTCTCTGGGGCAACGGATGAGGCGGTTCGACATAAATCCAGACAACACATCGCCTCGGTACCTACAGCAGCGCCCCAATAAAACCCTTAATTCTTGCTAAAGAAAATTCCAAACCAGATTTAGCGTCAATATCATCTAATCCCTCCTCTTGGGCTCCAGAGGAAAATGGACCTGTGGAGTACACGCTGCGCAGCAAACAAGGCACAGCTCCAAAGCCGTATCCTCTATCCCGTTTTTGCTCCCTCTCAGCCCTCCCTCTGCTTCCATGCAGAACTTGAGCAGAGCATTTGGCTGCCTTATCTGCCAGCAACAAGCGCCAGGAGGAACGCGCTCCCGGGAGATGCGGAGCTTGCAGGCTGAGCGCTGCCTCTGGCGCGCTGCGGCCGCTCAGCTCTGCCAGGTCCTCCGCGGCTCCCGCCTCTGCCGCCCCGAAGAGCCCTCGCTTGAGCCCGGGCTCCGCTCAGGGGATTCCCGCGACGAGGTGTCGCGCCAGATTTGCTACCTGCTTCCTGCTCCTCACCCGCGAAAGAACTGCACTCCCGTCCCGCCACGGCAAGTCCGGAAGCCTCAAGGCAAACCGGCGGTGCATAGCCCCAGGAAAAGCGGCTCCGCGCACACACTTGCCAGCCGAGTCCTCCCCCTTCCCTGCCCGCAACCCCCAGGGCCATTCCCCCGCCTGGGCCTGCGTGGGTCCAGTACCATTCTCCTCACGGGGCGGACTCCGGAAGGGCAGCAACTCCACCTCCTCCTCCTCCGCGGCCTGTAGCCATCTATCGGGAAGCGTCTCCGGAGGCGGCAGCAGAGGCCGCCGGACAAGGACAGCCCAGGGAAACCTTCTCAGAACTAACTCAGCTCCGGCACTAGCAGCAGAAACTGAGTCTTTCATAATTGTGCGACCAACTCCGCCGGGTGACTGGCCACAGGGACGCGCCCGCGCCCGCCTCCGCCGGCGACGGGGCTGGAGACAGACCACGTGAGGGGCGCGTCGTGTGCGTAGCCGCCCGCGGCCCGGGTCACGTGAGAGGCGCGCGCTCCCTCACTTCCAGGCCGCCTCCATGCGCGCCGCGCGTGCGCGTCGGGCACGAGCGCCCCCAGTCCCAGCGCCTCGGGTATGCCGAGCTGGGTGAGGTGTTCTCCCCAGATCTCCGTGGGATACCTAGGCGGGACTTGCACAAACATCTGCCTCAGCTCGGGGAGTGGAACTTAAGGAAGCGATAGTTGAGGTTTAAGGTTTCAGGCCCCTGGGATCCCGCCGGGAGTTGTGGCGTGGTCTCGTCTCTGTTAACTGGGCCTGGCGTCTGCCTGCAACCCCGTAGCTGTGCCTCAGCGAGGGTGGAGGCCTTCCATGTTTTTCTCTCCTAGTCCAAAATGGAAAATTATCTTGACCCAAATCATGTTCTTCCTCTAGCTTCCCCTGTTTGTGCCAGCAAAAATTCTTCTGGCTTTAACTGTGGGCACTAGCCTTTCCCTCCAGAGATATCTCCCGCCGGCGCGGACACACCACACACCTGAACCTAAGACTGTGGCTTTTCTGTCTTTCCTTTTCCTTTGCTCTCACACCAGCCCAGGTTTGACCATTAGGGATAGTTTACTAACTGTTGCTTTTCACACTCCGGAAAAACGTCAAGAGCTCCTCTGTCTGATGCTAATCTTATCTCTTTTTTAAAAACAGTTTTATTGGGACTTCCCTGGTGGTGCAGAGGTTAAGAACCTTCCTGCCAATGCAGGGGACACGGGTTTGAGCCCTGGTCCGGGAAAGTTCCACACGCCAGGGAGCAACTAGGCAGGTGCGCCACAACTACTGAGCCCGCAAGCCTAGAGTCTGTGCTCTGCAACGAGAGAAGCCACCTCGATCACCTCGATGAGGCACCTGTGCACTGCAACTAGAGAAAGCCTGTGAGCAGCAATAAAGACCCAATACAGCCAAAAATAAATAAAGTAAAATTATTTTTGAAAACAGCTTTATTGAGGAATAATTGACATGTCAATTAAGTAACCTATGCCTATTTAAATGTACAATTGGACAAGTATTGACATATTTATACACCCATGAAATCGTCACACTCAAGACAGTGAACGTATTCATTACCTCACACTTTCCTTCTGCCCTTTATAATTCTTCCATCCTGTCCCTCCCCATCTCCATCCTTTAGCAACTACTGATCTGCTTTCACTCACTATAGATTAGTTTGCATATTCTAAAGTTTTATGTAGTGGAATTATACCATATGTACTTTTTTGGGGGAAGGAAGAGGAGGTCTGGCTTCTTTCACTCAGCATAGCTATAACCTTGTAAACCTTTTAAAACACAATTCACTGAAGTAGGATCTTCTCTTCAACAAAACTGATCCACCCATTTTCCCTAACAAGCTTTGGCCATACTTGTGAACAATCTTCAATTACAGACATACCCTGGAGATATTTCAAGTTCCATTCCAGACCACTGCAATAAAGTGAATATTGCACTAAACTGTGTCACATAAATGTTTTGGTTTCCCAGTGCATATAAAAGTTATGTTTACAACTATACTGAGGTCGATTAAGTGTACAATAGCATTATGTCTAAAAAAAACTACATACCTTAATTTAAAAATACTTTATTGCTTTGAAAATAGTATCTTTGGGCTTCCCTGGTGGCGCAGTGGTTGAGAGTCCGCCTGCCGTTGCAGGGGACACGGGTTCGTGCCCCGGTCCGGGAAGATCCCACATGCCGCAGAGCGGCTGGGCCCGTGAGCCATGGCCGCTGAGCCTGCGCGTCCTGAGCCTGTGCTCCGCAACAGGAGAGGCCACAGCAGTGAGAGGCCCGCGTACCACAAAAAAAAAAATAGTATCTTTGAAGAGCAATAAAATGAAGTGCAATAAAACAAGGTATGCCTGTATTGTATATTCCTTCCCCATCTGGCAGGTCCAGCAGGACCAAGGTTTAAAAAATGGTGGGGTTTTTTTTCTTTTTTTTTTCTTTTTGGCGGTATTGGGTCTTTGTTGCTGAGCGCAGGCTTTTCCCTAATTATGGAGAGCGGGGGCTACTCTTCGCTGCTGTACGTGGGCCTCTCATTGCGGTGGCTTCACTTGTTGCAGAGCACAGGCTCTAGGCGCTTGGGCTTCAGTAGTTGTGGCACGCAGGCTCAGTAGTTGTGGCTCGCAGGCTCTAGAGTACAAGCTCAGTAGTTGTGGCTCACTTAGTTGCCCCGCGGCATGTGGGCTCTTCCCAGGCCAGGGGTTGAACCCATGTCCCCTGCGTTGGCAGGCAGATTCTTAACCACTGCACCACCAGGGAAGTCCTAAAAAAATGTTTTAAAACATGTGTCATACCTTTCCTACTAGATTGTCAGCCCCTTGGGGCAGGGATCTAAATGTTTATTTTCTAGATCTCAGCTGGGCCTACACACTTCCTGCCTTTAGGGAGTTTATAATCTAGAAGGTGGAAACAAACCAGAAAATTAAAATAAAATGAGATAAGAGTGCTCTGTTCTCCTTGGTCTTTGTGTCTCTGGCCTTTTTGTACCCACAAGTCCCCTTGCTTGGATGGTGTAGAAAAGAAACAAGAATAGCTCAATGATAGTTGGTCTCCAGAAATTTTTGGTAAATTGGAGCATTTAGTTTAGAGTTAGAAATGTTGCTTGCCATTTCAGTAAACAGCGAATGTTGCCCATGATCAAGCCATCAGCCACTATCACCTTGTGCTCTGAGGGGAATTCAGGATAAAGAAAGACAGGATACTGGCTCTAGATAGTTAAGATGCATATCAAAGGAATAATTTCAATGAGCCCAGACCCTTATTTATTTATTTGGCTACATAGGGTCTTAGTTGCGGCATGCGGGATCTTTCATTGCGGCACACGGGCATCTCTCTAGTTGTGGTGCACAGGCTCAGTAGTTGCGGCATGTGGGCTCTAGAGCGCTCAGGCTTAGTTGCCCCGCGGCATGTGGGATCTTATTTCCCGCCCCCCCCCCCCCCCGCCAGGGATTGAACTGGCATCACCTGCATCGGAAGGCGGATTCTCAACCACTGGACCACCAGGGAAGTCCCTCAATGAGCCCAGACTCTTGCATCTTCCCATACATAGAAAAGCACTAACATCATTAACTTGAGATGTCTGTTTTTTTGTAATTAGCAGTAATGTTTTGATGTTCGACTACATGTCTTTTTCTAGCAAAGACTCCTACATAACCTGGCTCCTCCCTTACCTCTTTGAAACAGTTTCTCGAAGCTATCTGAGAGTCTGTTTCCAGGCTATAGTACTCAGTAATGTTCTTGAATAAAACATAATTCTCAACTTTTAGGTTGTGCATTTTTTCCCACTGACACCTTAATTGAACTACTGAAAATAAATTATTTAATTTACAGGTGATCAGACAGCCCTGAAGTTCACATATACTGACCTTCAGTGAGCAATCAGTTCTGGAGGATGAATATATTCATTCAAAAAAAAGTGTTGGGACTTCCCTTGTGGTCCAGTGGGTAAGACTCCGCGTTTCCAATGCAGAGGATCCGGGTTCGATCCCTGGTGGGGGAACTAGACCCCACATGCATGCTGCAACTAAGACACGCCTCAGCCAAAGTAAATAAATATTTTTTTTAAAAGACACTCAAACAGCCTCTGAAGAGGTACATGTGGCAAGGGGCTGAGACCTCCCAACAGCCAATACCAAGTTACTGGCAAGAAAGTGGAGCAACAGGAACTCTCATTCATTGCTTGTGGGAATACAAAATAGTAGTGACACTTTGGAAGATAGTACAACAAAAACTAAACATACTCTTTTGACAGGATCCAGCAAGTGTGCTCTTTGGTATTTACCCAAATGAGGTAAAAACTTTTGTCCACATAAAAGTGTGCAAATAGTTGTTAATAGCAGCCTTATTTATAATTGCCAAATATTCAGAGCAATCAAGATGTCCTTCAGTGAGTGGATAAACTAACTGTGGTACATCCACAGAATGGAATATTATTCTGTGATAAAAGAAATGAATTATCATGCCATGAAAAGACATGTAGAAAACTTAAATAAATATTTCTAAGTGAAAGAAGCCAAACTGAAAGGCTACAAACTGTATGATTCCAACTGTGTGACACTCTGGAAAAGGCAAACTATGGAGACATTTAAAAGATCCGTGGTTGCCAGAGGTTTGAGAGGAGGGAGGGAGGGAGGGATGTATAGGTGGAGGACAGGGCATTTTTAGGGCAGTGAAACTACACTGTATGACACTGTAATGTGGATACATGTCATTATACATTTGTCAAAGCCTGTAGAATGTACAACGCAAAGAGTGAATCCCAATGTAAATTATGAACTTTAATTAATAATAAAGTATCAATATTTGCTTATCAACTGTGACTAATGTACCACACTAATGCAAGATGTTAATAATAGGGGAAACTGGGGGGAGGGGGGAGGGTTGTGAAAGGGGTATACGAGAACTTTCTATACTTTCTCACACAATTTTTCTGTAAATATAAAACTGCTCTAAAAATAAAGTGTATTAATTTTTTTAAAAGCATATGGGCAAAGTAGAATAGAAACACAAGCTAAGGACAAAAAAAGAATAATGCAAAATTTCCTATTCTTGAGAAGGTTACCTTTCTTAAATGAATAATGATGGGTATCAAATCATATTTAAAATCTAAGTGATAAAATTTACATTTTAAAGTCTATAAATTTTTAATATTCTGTTAATTACATTTATTGCAAATATTTTAAATTATGATAAAATATACAAGGTTACATAGTATTTTTTACACTGATACATATTTTATTGAGATATAATTGACATATAATATTATATTAGTTTCAGGTGTACATCATAATGATTTGATATATGTATATATTGCAGAATGTTCACCACAATAAGTCCAGTTAATATCCATCCATCCATAGTAGTTTCTCAAAATTATTTTAAGTGGTATGTAAACAAAAATACTTGAAGACCATCACTCCAAGTCTCTTTCA